ATGCATCTAAAGGATAGAAATGAAAACTATCTGCACGTGTGTGATTCAGCGGTACATGCAATTAGCTGCAATCGCGAGTACATCAATAATACGAGTCAGTTGATTGATATATTTTAATTAAGATATTTTCTGACGGTTGTTAACGTTAGTAGCACCAGCAGCAATGACAGCAGGATCTGTAGCGAATGACAGGAGCGACAGCTGTAGCGAAAAAAATAAATATGGCATCGATCGACATGATCTAGTGAAAGAAGAAAACAAAAGTTAATGTTAAAAACTACGAGTATCACATTTTCGCAGATTGTCATGAAAATCGCATGCAAAAACACATGTTGATTTAGTAAGCGTTATTCGACCCAGGTAGAGATCTGATTGTCGTTGGTATGGAAGCGACGCTGTCGAAGCATTGACTGACCTATATTCTCGTGGCCACAAAAAAACTAGCTAAGGACAAAGTTTAACGCAACTTCTAAAGCCTTTGAAAAATCATCTCTAACGCGATTCTCGTTACATGAATGCACCCTGCGTTTTAATTATTATTATTATGATTATGATTATTATTATTATTATTATTATTATTATTAACTAACGAACTTACGGCTTCCTGCGTAAAGAGTCATGAAACAAGAAAAAGTCAGAGATACGTTAAACAGATTGTCAAAAGGATTGTTCAGAGTTCTTAGCGAGAAACCACCGTGCACTCGATTGCCACTATCATTTTGGAATAAGAGATCCAGAGAATCAATTATATCCGTTCAAATCGAATTCGAAGATACCAGTGAAATTTAGAAGAAGAAAAAGAAAAAAAAAAAAGAAACAAAAAAACAATTTACGAGAAGAAAAAGCAGATCTAGCAAAAGTATTGTACGAAGAGTCGAGAAACGCGTACGACGTTCGTTCGAACAAGGAAAAAGTCGAAGCGACTAACGAAGTGATTGGCCAATTTACTCTTTCGAGAAAGTCAATGACAGTTCCCGAGGCAAGAAATCGCTCGAGACACAGCGGCATGAACGGCGACGTTTTTTCTTAATCGCACACCGTTAACCAAACTCACTCGATCTCTACTGACCTCTCTATGAGTTTACGCATCTCCTCGGTGGTCATGCCGTCCTTGCCGCGAGCATTCACTGAAATAGAAAAACACACGGCACGATTGACACAACGGTAAACTACTACGACGACACGTAGCATGCATATCGTGGAAGCTAAACGATTAGATACACAGACCCCGCAGCGAGTCCCGGTTCATTCTTGTACGCCGTGACTCGCTCGGCATGCCTATTATTATATTTACTACTGCGTAAAGGACGAGCAGCGATAGAGAACTCAGAGCGAAACAGACGAAACGACAGCCGCATCGACTCGGCATTCAGACAACGGGACAACTTGTTGGAAAGATCGTTCTCCCCGATAACGAGTCGTTAACTTCGACTAATTCGCTTCGCAATTCGATCGTCTGGTTCCCTACTCGATCACGGTTCTTTGTACTGACCGCCGTAGTTGCGGTTCACAAGTTGATCGCGGTCACACTCTGCCTCGCTGATCTCGTTGCTTTCTTTGCTGTCGTTGAAGCTCGAGTTGTTCTGGTCGTGGTTCCTTGGTGGTGGTGGTGGTGGTTCGGGTGATCCAGAAACGGGAATGTTACGAGCTGATCCTACGCTGCGACGTCCGACAGAGCCGCGAGATCCGTAATGATCGTAGGGAGCGCCGTATTGTCCGTACTGAGAGCCATACTGATCTTCCTCGGGAGCGCAGTTTGCCGGGTCATCGTATTCAGGAGAGAAGACGTTGTGGGTTCCGCTGCCACCACCTTGGGATGGGACGCGAGAGTAGCGACCGTTTTGACGTGGCTAGAAAAAGAAAGAAATTGAAAGATTATCATTAGATCATTTTTAGATACTTATGCAAATTCATATTTTCATAAATATTTATAGTTGGAGGACATGGGAACTATAGGTAGTAAGCATTATATTTTTATAAATTGCGTGCATTTCTGCATCTTTAAATTTTATGTAGGCCACAAGATGAGCAACAAATCCGATTCTTTATATCCATCATATTCTTGAAGAATGTTGATAGATCTTTAGCGGACTCTTACTTACCACTTACACAACATCTTTCTTATTTTCTTTAATTTAAAGAGCATATTGTTTTTAAGTTATCTTTCTCGTTGTCTTACTACTCATAATGGCAACACATTGCTGTGTCTCACAACACCTCCTTTTATAAAAAAAAAAAAACCATTCCTTTTAATTTTCAAACAAATTAAATAAAAGTCCACAAAGTATTTTGCTAGAAGATAGAAAAATTTCCCAAACGCGTGAAAGTAAGTCTGATACCATAGATTGAGATCCAGAGCGGCTGTGAGCTGAAGCGTTGGTAGGATGTCCAACAGGTGGTCCCATAGTGCCAGAGTGTCCATTGCCAGGGTGTGGGAAAGTCTGGAATTGCATAGCTTTGCTGGGGTCCATTTCTTCGCGGAATCCAAGAAGGTGGAAAGTAGCGTATGGGCAGATCTCATCCTCCATGCCTGAAAGAAACGATCACTCAGGGTAGACACTGCAGTTATAGACCTACTTAAACTAATCTATTCATTGTACGAGATTATCTATCGATCAAATCAGATAATCTCTCGCAAGGTGTTGGTTTCGTGCAGATATTTCGCTATCGCTAAAATCATCCGGGTACCTACGTATTACATTCCTATGTTTTTCCTCTTCTCTCGTACTTGCACATTATCGAGAAATTTTTTATAGGAAAATGTATCATGCATGTTAATCGTACAAGAACAGGTCCAACAACACTCGTTTCAGTCTTCTTCCCGAGTATGTATAACTTAACTTCGAATTTAATTTATGGGCGTAAAACTCATTCTGGTACATAGAAAATACAATGTCGATGCAATAAAATTGGAAGACCGAAAAGAATCGAACGAGAAACTGGCCCTGCTCCGTTTGAGAAAAGTTTCGGGAAAATCGAAAGAGATGTTTGCTATCGGTGCTTCGTGTTCATCTGTTTGCAAAACAAAAGGATACCAGAGCGCAAACATGCGAGGGCGTGCAAACATTAAGAGAAATTAGCATCAGCACGGTGTAAGAACGGTGTGGAATTCGAAGGACTTACGAAGACCGGCTGCAACCAACCAATAGCTGCACCGGCCGTAGGTTAGTAATCGTAGTCACGCGACAGACGAGGTCTCGTCATGGCGACGCACGAAGGAGAAAGAGCGCTTCGTTCGGGTCTTTAACTACTTTTACCAACCTCTGTGCGAGAGAGCTTCGGCACTGCCCATACGGGGTGGTGGTGGACATCTTCGGTTGGGCACGCAATGATTCAATTCCTCGTACATATGTCGTCTGGGATCCCACGTCGAGTGGCTTCTTATCGAGCCTGTTCCACCTATCGAACATATACTACAAAGGTCGTACGACTGACTGGCGCTTACCAATTCGGTTCGGTATTGGCTCGTTGCCAAACGAAGTGATCGGGGTGATTGGTTTCATTGACGATTCACGGGGTCATCAGGAGTGAACACAGGGCGAGATCGTTCAAGACGGTATCGGCGCTTGGTATGCGCAGCAAAATGTGATAAGCGCAAAAATAAGGGAGGAGAAATAACCGTTCCCGTGGGACATACATTTTTACGTATAGAGAGAAAACATTTTGAAAGCGAGGCAAACAATGAAACAACTGGCAAATGACTATGATGATGGACGCGTGTATGAATCATGTGTCTGGGAGTGTGTACGTGTGTGGTATCTCAACGGCGTATATCGGTACGCCGACTTGTCTGACAATGAGGTGAGGTCTAAAAAATCGTGTTAACCTGTGCGATTCGATCGTGTGTCACGTAAAATAAAAATAAAACGGTAACACTATCGTGCCGATGCGACAACATCTAGACAGTAATTGGAATTTAGCTAGAAATCATATTGTAGGCAGTTGTGGCTTACTTATCACTGTACCTCGCTTGATGCGATCGCAGGTGTTATAGTTCGAGCCAGGAACAGGGGGTAGTTTGCGATTCGGTGGAGCGATGTATCCAAGTTCGTCGCGAAGATCGGGTCTGCGTTTGTCAAGTGTAGCTCCGCCGACACCAGTTTGTTGATATACCACGTCGTCTGAAAGAACGAACGATACGAATGCCATTCGCGAGCTCGATGACGTTCAGCATTCGATATTCGATTTGGATCGATCATCAGAAAAATAATTTCTATTGCATATCTCTCGGGATAGTTTCCTCGTCAATATCATTTCGAATCATGTCTCTCTATCATCGAATTATCCTTCTGATAAACTTCCATCTGTTTTTCTCATAGCAAGTTAAAATAATAAAAAAAAATGGTATACATTGTCCTTCGTAATATTTCTCGTCGGCTGATGAGATACCTCGCAGCCGTGTTTGCTCCGGGCCTCGAGTTCTTCTAGACAGAGCGACGCAAATCACAACTATGCCTACAATAATCACAACAACCGTAGCTCCGACCGGTACAACCACGTTCACATCGAGCCAGCTTGGTAACCACGGGAAATAACGCCTGACGTCCGTGTTGTCGTTACCGCTGTTACGTACGGGCGGTGCGATCGTACCTGTTCGTTAGAAACAGCAAAGGAAAAAGAACGTTTACCTTTATCGCTATTATGGCCCTTTCCTCTCAGAACGCAGATCACGATGACGGCAACGATTATAACGAGAATAGCTGCTACCACGGGTACGACCAGATTTAAGTTAGCCATGAAAATTTTCATCGGATCTTCGTCGTTGCCACCACCGTTCACGTCAGGTAACTCTCGGGCCGGTGCAATGGTGCCTGGAACAAAAAATATGGCGACCATTCAATCCAGCCACCATTAGCACCGGCTACGAGTGCGCCGTTGCCATCTTCATTTCCTTCACGCTTACCTCCGGTTACGGTCAGTGTCGCGAATTCGTACTCGGCCACAGCGAAGCCAGCGTTGTTGTGAGCGGTGACGCGCAAGTGATACCAACTAGCAGGATCCAGGTCCAAAACGACAAAGTTTCCGCCGGGTTTCACATTGTTCGAGACTTGATTCCATTCCTGTTGGTGCCTGAATCGCATCGAACCATCGTGTTTTAATTCCCATCAGATTCAAAGAATCTCTTCTATACAATTTTCTCTTTTTCCTTACTTCTTCTTATGTTCGACGACGAAGTAGAGCATCGGGCAGCCACCATCAGACCAAGCGCTCAAATGTAGGGTGATACTGTTCGTGGAGACTTCGATGAATCTAGCAGCTTCGGGGATGATCGGTTTCGAGCCCTTGGTGCGAGTGTTGAGCATGTCGGAGGGATCGCCAGTTCCAATTCTAAGAGAACCACAACATATGAGCTTCGTTCGCGCAACAGTTTCGTTCGCGCATGTCTAGATCGTTACCCGTTGTATGCTGTAACGTAGATCTGGTATCTCGAGCCACACCACAGATTCTCCAGAGTGTATTTCTGAGCCGTGGAGCTGATTTGAGCAGTTTCCCAGTCGCCAAATTCAGGCTTGTAGTGAATAGTGTATCCATGAATCGGAGCGTTATCGGTAGGATGAGGCCTCAGTTTCATGGTCAGTGAGTTAGTAGTCGTAGCAGTGAGAGTAACCTGTGGTGAGTGTGGCGGAGCTACGAAACATCGTTTTATCTCGATCATTCGTTCTCCAGCCTCATCGAATCCCATCTATAGTTCATAATATCACTCACCATGAACAATCAGTTGATGCGTAACGGTATCGTGTCCAAACGAATTTTCAACGTAGCAAGAGTATTCTCCAGCATCGGTACGATCGACTTCCTTGATGAACAAAGATCCTTCGGGCAATTGTCGCAGTCTGTCGCTAGATTGGAGAACGGCGCCACGTACTTTCCATGTAACTTCCGGTGCAGGTACACCGACAGCCAGGCAGGGTAATTTTACATCTTCCTTATAGGTAGCAGTGAATTTATCATCGAACGATGCGATCTTTGCCGGTACTGAAAAATTTCACGCCAATTAGTTCACCACAAATTATATACAATATATAGTGTAATATTGTGTGATATATTATATATTATTATATACAATATAAACAATAAAAAGTGGAAAAGCATACCTCGTACGCTTGGTGCCAATGCCACGATTTTCGAAGCCTCTCCTTCTCCAATATTGGTGCTAGCAGTTACCCAGAAGTCATATCTGCGCTGTTTGTCCAATCCAGATGCCTCGTGAGTTAATTGATTCGGTGGTACTTTCTGGCTAGTCGGTTCTTCCGCGTTGTCTGCCTTGGTGTAAACAATATATTGGGTGATCACTCCATTTGGCTGGCTTGGTGGACGCCACGAAACGAGAATCGATTCAGCCGACATAACGAGAGCCTTGATTGCGATAGGTGCTTCGGGGGCTGTAAGAAAGAGAATATAACATATTTCAAATATCACTTACTAAATGGTGTAGGTGGATCTAGTACAAAAAATTTTTTAATAAATTCTTTATATCAATACGAAAGTGATATTATTTTATTTCTTGAATGGGAGTGAAGTATTCCACTGCTTCGAATATTTTCTTAATCATTTTTCTTAATCATTTTGTCAAGAATCGGTGTAATTTCATCTCTTAATGACTCTATATTAGGGGGTGTGAATAGAATAGAAACGTTCGCAAAATTACAGAAAATTTCCATAATGTGCAAAAGTATATTTGTCTCCATAACATTGTATCATAAAATACTCAAGAAACATTTCACTGGCACTACTTTACTTGCAATGTGTGAACTATTTTATTGAAATTATATAGCATTACAGTCAATTCCAAGTCAATTATAGCTTCATTATTATTGAAATGATATTAAATATTCTATCTTCCTTCTTAAACTCCATAAGCGACAATTGGAGACACATATTAAGAAATCATCAAATTTCTATACTTTAGCCTATAATTTTACCAAACATTACTTACCATCCTGTTCCGTTTGGCAGTGAATAGGTGCAGATTTAACTCCATCGCCACCAGAAGTGAAAGCCAGAACCTGCATAGTGTAGTTGGTATATTTCTTTAATCCATGTAAAATAGTCTCGCTGGAGGAAGTGATCTTGGTATCCTTCGTGTTCTCATCATACCAGGTATCAGATGGTCCGTAAATAACCTGTGAGAGGAAATTATAAATTGTAAATTGTAACAATTCACGAATTTATTCAGAATGTAATTATCAGCCTACAGATATTTATGCATTTCTATATTATAATTAAAGAATTTATATTATATTATAATTAAAGAATTGGCGTTTAATTTCATCTGCTAAATATCTATATTATTATATACATTCTGTCCATGTTTCTTAAGTTTCCAAAAAATGCATTGGACTCTTAATATTCGATGTATTTTTCGCTCTGTCGAATTTTTAAAAATAAATTTCTTAAATTTATATTTTATTTCTTAAAGATATATATTGGAGCTCGAACAAAAATTCGTCACAAAAAAATACTCATTTTTGGATATTTTGTAGATGTTTTTCAGTCTTTAATTTCGCAAAAATGCAATCTGATAAATTATTTATTAACCTTGTATCCGGTAATGACTCCGTTGGCAGCGCTAAGAGGCGGCGACATCCAGGAAACTCTGATAGTTTGAGAAGTCAAAGTGGTGCAAGTGGTGTCGTGAGGGGGTTGTTCAGGCACTCCTTCAGCAGTGTGCTGTCTTCGTTCCTCGCTTATTGGTCCCGATCCAACTTTGTTAAATGCTTGAACGACAACGCTGTATTGAGTGTAGGTCTTCAGGTTCATGATCTGCAAATGGTGTTCCTTTCCATCTTCCTTCGAGAAGTCCACAGTTTCATAAATGTAATCAGAGGAGGAGGAGAGTTTGTAGCCAACATAGTATCCAAGAATTTCGCCATTCCAGTCTTCTCGCGGGGGTGGTTTCCATGTTACCTAAGCGAATTGAATCGAATTGGTCTCATTCCATTTCAATAAAAATGTACTTCGAATAACGAAGTCTAACGTATAGTTATAAAACTCATAAATTATTTGTAAGAGTATACTTTCACAAACCACTGTAAACATTTTTATATTTCGATTACAGATTTATAACGAACGATATAAAAAACGCCTAGAAATACTTCATTTATGATAGATACACACACACACACATATATTTTCTTTTTTTTTTTTTTTTTTTTTTTTTGAAAAGAAACATTTGTCTGAAGAGATTTCAGTCTCTAAAGATTCGATTGACTTCTCAGCTGTAAAAGATTTAAGTTACCTTAAGAGTGTGCTGATCAAGGGCGTCAACGCGAACAGAGGTTGGTGGACCGCTAGGAGCTTCTTCAGCAGTGATAATTGTGACAGTATCAGAGGGATCGGACGCGCCAATTTCGTTTTCAGCAACAATTCTCAGGTGATACGTGGTGGCAGGTCTCAAGTTGAAAACGCCAGCTACATTCTGTTGTGATCCAGGTACCAGCACTCTATCGATGTCTGTTTCCCACGAGCCTTTGCTGATCTTGTATTCGATGACATAGCGTTTGATAGGGCTGTTTCCATCGTACGGTGCTGCCCAGGATAATTGAACCGATCGTCCAGATTTATCTAATACCTTCAGGCCGTATGGAACTTCAGGAACCTCTGTGAAAAAATTCAAATTTTTCAATAACTATTTTACAATGAAAAATTCTGAAAGAATTCGCAGACACGTGTGCCACATTTTTTTTAATAATTTTCATTAAGCAAAGAGATGTAGCACGTAAAAAACTGTAAGTCTTGAGCAGTTTTATCATACCAGCTATGCTTTTTATCTTTATAACATTTTATAGACAATGTGACAAAATTTCTCGTGTTAATACTAAAATATCTCTTAAACTAATAACTTTTCCACATACATTGGTTAATGTCTTTAATATCATATGGAAAAGGTAAAAGCTGCATTGATCAATACAATAATAATATAATTCACCGGGTGCACATCTCAAAACCAATCATCTTTCATTGTAACATTTTTCTCAATGAATAATGATAATAATATAAATCATAGTGATAATATCAAGTGAAATATTCTGTATAATATTAAGTTTAGGAAACGCTTAATAAGTGAAAATATTGATTTGGACCAGGCAAAATGTAATAACAGCAAACACTATATCTTTCCTTACTTTATCAAAACGAATAATAAATCAATGACGCTTATCAAGCTACCAGGCCATTTTTAATATTATGCATAATTCCTGAACATTATTTATCATATTGCCGATGACAAATGTGCGAAAAGCTAGATAAACGTTGGATTTCTGTGCAAATCGATTCGAACCTTGTACAATCATATTGATACTGGTGTCATCGCTTCCAAAGGCATTGGTAGCAACGCAGGTGAACAGGGCAGAGTCACTTCTCTCGGTTCTTTTGATGCTAAGATCAGACAGTACGCCGTTGGCCAAAATTTCTTCGCGGATGGTGTAACGAGAATCGCTCTTCGGGTCCAGTCTCTTGTTGTTCATGTTCCATAAGATGCCGATTGGTTTCTCGCCTTGAGCCTCGCATTGCAACACAGCTGGTTCTCCGCGTCTTGCCGTTTGGTTCTTCAGTTTGATCTCAAAATGAGGTGGAGCTGCGGCAGGAATAATGCACGAATTATATCGACAGAATTAAAGTGAGTGGGAGAGAAATGATGACGTATATGTTACCCTGAACCGAGATGAAAATAACAGCCGAGAGCCCTGCACCAATTCCATTTACAGCCTCGCACAGATAATAGCCTTCGTTCGTCTTCTGAATGTTATTGATTGACAGGGTTCCATCCTCGACGCTGATGTCTGGGTTGCTCAGTTTCAAATCGGTATAATCGCCCGGTGTATCTCCTACGAAGTAGAAAAGACAACTTGTCGTCAAGGTCTTCGATTAAGGAAGAATTAGACTGCATTTTAATATGTTTAAGAAAATGGAATCTAAATTGAGATTTGTTTTCTCCAATATGTATTACAATAAATACTCTACTTTTGAGATATTATATATTTTTAAAAATTTCAGAAGATAGAAAAGATTTAATTTTATAATGATAACTAAATTAGAGAAGGAGCATGTTAAAAAATAAAGAACCACTGCATTTTAAAAGATAAATGCGGAGCATGTAACAAATAAAGATTTGAAGTTATTTCCAAGCGTAATGATTTATGCACAGTATTTTTCTCAACAAACAAAAAAAGTTAAACAATTTTCTATCCAGACTCTATTTTTTTGTTGTACTTCCGGAAAAAACATAAATTTGCATATTCTGCAGTGTAATAATAATCATCAGACTGCGGATATTTTTAAAAAGATGGTTAAAAATTCAACTATTAACGCCAGCGAATAGAATATAAAACTTATATGAAAAATAAAAGTGCAAGGAAATAGAAAAAAATTTGCAGTGCAATATGAAGAACACAAAATTTTAAAAATTTCTATGAAAAATTATGTATCGGTCACTTTGACCATTCTTTTAATTCTAGTAATGTTAAATATTATGCAGTAGTTCTAAATTTAGTTTAATAAAATATTATAAGACGTACATCAAATATAAGAGCTACTAAATATTACAAGAAGTGCGTTATTATACTTCGAATATTTTGTATACTTTTTCCATACTACTTGCATACTGTTCACTGTGCATTTACGCGTCTCGAAATTTCTCATCGAAGCGAAATATATTTACCAGCAGCTTTCTTCCACGTGACCTGGGGCTTGGGGAAACCGTCAGCTTTGCATTCGACGCGGGCGTCGGAGCCTTGAGCGAATGCCTTATCGGTGGGTTCCAGAATCCAGCGCGGAGGTACTGTTACAGAACAACAAGGTTATTCGAACGTCCTCCCGGCGCATCCACCATATCGGCAGTTAATCCGGGAGTCAGTCGCATCGTGATCTTGAGTTTCCGTCATTCCTATCAGAAATTCCAATATCTACCTATCTATACGAAACTCGGTCGGTCATCCTCTCGATC